AAGCACTGATGATGAATATGCATTTTACAAGATTTCTAAGATTTATGTTGGTTATAAATTTATATTCACCTGCGTTATGCAACAGATCCTCTAGTTTTAGTTATTTGTTATTTGGTTTTTTGTGGTTGTAGTTTTTAGTTTTAAGTTTTAAATCTTTATTTATTAAAATGATACAAAAGTTATTGTTTAAAGACGACATAAAAGGATTTGATATATAATTTGCATATTAAAGCTTATCCTGTAAAGTCATAATAGCAACACTCTGCGGCCAAAGAATCAATTTGAAAACTAGAGTGAAAAATACATCTATTCAAATATTTAGTTATCATGGGATTACTTTTCCACCCTGACACATAAGGGAATAAAAGAACCCAGAAATACACCAGCTACAAAAGCAATCAGAAGCAAAAGAATCTAGTGAACACGCATCGTTGTATATGGACGTTTTGCCATGCGTGAAATCAACAAACCAACAAACACTTCCAGCTATAATTTCTGAATTTCTGAGCAAGTTAATTGAATATAAACACAATGTTTGCACAACATATAAATGGCTGTCCATCAATGCTGTTACCATAAAAATTGATGCCTTAAAAGATTTCTCGTCTGTCGTAATTCGGTCAAAACGTCACCGATAGTATGTCAGTGGAACACGAGATAAAGATAATAGGTTAGTTTCTTTTATGATGGATGAAAAAAGGAAGAAAACAGCGTCTTAAAAACTGTCAATATAAATATGAATCCAGTTATGATGTACGTTTCAATTTCAACCTTAATTTTGAATTCGATAATTTATGACTGTAACAATAATCAACGAAGACTACCTGCACCTATGCTCTTATCTTCCAACTGAATTTATTTTTTTAATCAACAGTTAAAATAATGCATAGATATTGCACTATGCCAAGATGTAGAATATTGTATATTAAGTTTAAAATCAAAACAACGTTCCTATAAAATTAGCTTGGCCAGAGAAAGGGACAACAAAATCAATTAAATGAGGACAGAAAGAATAAACAATATATTTTTAAAGCTGTGTTTCTGAACTGTTTATCGAAGATAGTTGTATCATACATTTTGTTGAGGTGATTTCTTACTAAAAAGTAACTAAAGGGAGAGTTTTCGATTGATGTTATATAGCATCTTGTTTTTGCTATCATTTGCACAGGACCTGTCCATACATGTACTATAAGAACAATCAATCCTTAAACTGACATTAGCTAATGACAAATATGTTGAGGTAACAGGGGATTTTAACAGCCTCATTGTTATCAACATCTTAAAAGTTCGGTGTTTTTATTATGACCTTATAAACTAATATACTTGTTACGTCATCGAGTTGTATTTTGGTTGATGCATTTCATACAAATTGAAATGTTTTAGTTTATATTTTACAGACTAAGCATTTCCTGATCAATATATATGGGTTTCATTCATTCAAGATACCTGGCACCGGGATCATGAAACAGACTTCGACTTAAGTCAGAATTTTGATCGTCCATAAATGTTTATTACTTCTCTTGTGAATCGGATCACTTTGTTGATTCACAGCGAAAAGGCATTTTCATTTTGGACTGCTTTATTACTAAATCATCACAACCCTATATACATTTTAGGTGTTACAAATCAACAGCTTTAAAACTTACGAGTTTTCAACTTTATACACCATTATTCCCCACGATAAATTCAAATCCAGGCATTTGAAATCATTGATAGCTGCTTTTTCAATAAAAATGGAACTCTTAAATTTACTTACATGCATAATTATTTTGTGAAAAAAAAAATTCTGATTGTACACACAAGTACTCTGAAGTTGACATCAGAAAGATGCTTGTGTTTCTGATTGACAATAACTATGTGTTTTTGGAGACCAGGTCTTCCAACAATCTATTGCGCCCCGTAACATGTATTAGTATACCTATTTCTGTTTTATATGAAGCAGGATTTGTGCAAAATCTTGATAAGAAGAAAACACTTGCTGTGGTCTTAAACTCGACATTTAGATATATCGACGACGTATCATCAATTAACAATGGTAACAATGGTAATTACCATTCTAATGTCGATATCATATATCCTGGTGAGCTTGAGATAAAAGATACCACATAGTCTAACACATCTGTTTCATATTTGGATATTTTACTTGAAAAAGACATTAATGGTAATCTAACAACCAGGCTCTATGATAAACATGGTGAATTTAACTTTTCTATCATCATCTTCCCTTACTTATGCAGCAGTATACCTTCATCGCCTGCATACGGTGTTCATATATCTCAGTTGATTCGATACGCAAGAGCATGCTCTACATACGAACAATTTCTAAAACGAAGTAAACTATTGACAAAGAAGTTGATGAAACAAGAATATCAACAGTCTCGTTTAAATTCATTTGGCAAGTTCTATGGTCGGTGGATACAATGACCTTGTAGGCAAAAACAATTTTTCATTGAGTCAAATGGTGACTGACATTTTTCATAGTAATTGTTTGTCCATCATTCATACACTTAATTGACGACGGACTTTGCCGTTATAACCCATCATGACAAGGAGCTCATGGCGGGTGTGATCGGTCGGCAGAGGAGGATGCTCACTCCTCCATGGCACTTGATCCCACCTCTAATGTTTTGGAGATCCGTGTTTGCTCGGTTGATTTTATTGTATTATCAACTTGTTTGTTAATAACTAACCTCGGTTTTAAAATTATTTATACTTAGAAGCTCTTGTGTATGGATTCAACTGAGAGATATAAACTTCGTTTGCAGGTGTTAAGGGTATCTTGCTGCATAAGTAAGGACAACTGACGTTTGTAAAGTTAAAGTCATCAAATTTATGATAAAGCTTTGTTGTCAAATTTCTATTAACGTCTTCTTCTAGTAAAACAAATAAGTATGAATTAGGTTTGTCAGACATTGTGGTATCTTTTATTTAAGTTCACTGGTACACATCGTGTCGACATATGAATGGAAATATTAGTGTTAATTGATGAAATGTCAACGATATATCTAATTGTCGAGTTGAAGGCCACTTCACGTGTTTGTGTTTCTGGTGGGGGGGGGGGGGGGGGGGGGTTCACTGCTTTTCACCTTTTTAGTTTTATTTCTTCATTGTAAACATAACTAAATGTAAGATTTGCCTCATTATTGCTGAGGACATCTTTAAACAAGACGTTACAAGTTTGATTTTAAAAACCCTACATTTAAATTTCTTTATTAATGTTGAGTAAAAGACCAGGTCTCTGTCGAGACTGTAGCTCTACTGGTTTGTAATTATCATAAACCAATGCACTATTATATGTAAGTTAGTGTAGTCTACTTGTCTTATGTGCCAAGTAATACTGAAATCAGACTAAAACTGTAGAAGGAGTAGCATTTTAAAGGTATTTCTTAGAAAATTATATTTTTAGTAACCATGGCAACACCATTCATTGAAATCAAAATTCGATGCACTATTTTATGTATCTAAGTGTGGTTTACTTGTGTGCCAAGTAATATTGAAATCAGACTAAAACTGTAGAAGGAGTAGCATTTTAAAGGAATTTCACAGAAAATTCAATTCTATTTTTAGTAACCATGGCAACACTGTTCATCGAAATCAAAAACCGATGCACTGTTTTATGTAACTTAGTGTAGTCTACTTCTGTGCCAAGTAATATTGAAATCAGACTAAAACTGTAGAAGGAGTAGCATTTTAAAGTAATTTCTCAAAAAATTCTATTTTTAGTAACCATGGCAACAGCGTTCATCAAAATCAAAAACCGATGCACTATTTTATGTACCTTAGTGTAGTCTACTTTTGTGCCAAGTAATACTGAAATCGGATCAAAACTGTAGAAGGAGTAGCATTTTAAAGGAATTTCACAGAAAATTCTATTTTTAGTAACCATGGCAACACCGTTCATCGAAATCAAAAACCGATACACTATTTTATGTATCTTAGAGTAGTCCACTTGTGTGCCAAATTATACTGAAATCAGACTAAATTTGTAGGAGGAGTAGCGTTTTGAAAAATTGTTTACAGACAGACGGACAGACAGACGGACGGACGCCGGACGCATTACTATCGCATAAGCTCTTCTGGTCTCTGACCAGTAGAGCTAAAAAACCATGACGCAAGCGAAATGCATGTAAGATTCAGCTACATAAAGATTTTTCTATCAAAATAGCTTTTTCTTTTTCCTGGTTCACAAAGACATATCCATGCACTGATTATGACCAGTTTAAAGTTAAAATACTACCAGTATTCATCAAGGAATAGCTAAAAAATACACACTTTTTAAGCTATGTCCTTCAGCTTTCATCATTTGGTAAAACCTCTTAGAATCCTTACGGTAATTTTTGTAGTTTTCGTATTTGTAACTTTATAATTTCACCTGAAAAATCTCTGCACTTTGTAGGTTGATTTAATTAGAATTAGGCTAACAATTTATTGAGAAAACAAATGAAACACATTGGATTTCTTGGATCCGAGTCCAAAATGTTTGGATGCATAGAGAGGAACCTGTTTTTTTTTTCTCATTTGACTTTTTGGGTACCCCCGCAAAGGAACTCGATTTTTGCAATGTGTGGATTCGACTATCGATTTTTATTGTATGAACAGTTCGTGTATGCATGGTGTCGCTGACGTTTTGGCCGATTAAGGAATTAGGGAAGTAGATCAATCTTTTTCATAATTTGTTTATATTAACAGGATGTTTAAAGCTTTTGATAATTTTATTTAAGAAGTTGAAAAATAAAACTCACTAGTGAAAATTAATGTAAGAATAGTACAGATAAAATTTTGCACCTACGTTATCAAGATATTGACACACTAAAACTTAGTCACGTGACCATGTGTTATTTTTCTTCTTGATAAATTGTACATAATTTGAATGTACAAAATGTTGTAATTTCTTTTATTCTTTGACCTGTTGTCGTTGAAGTCAAATACCTATTCACAATGACTAAAATTTCGATAAGAAATCGTTTTTATTTGATAAATAGCTGTAAAACCATGTTATTATGTTCTTCCTTTCATATGGGTAACTCAATGTTGCAAACCTTGGACACAAAGCAAAAGGTAAAGATCTTATTTTGAGGTTTTGCTTTTATTTTGTTTCGGATAAACTGACAAAAAAAACTTAATAAAAACATGTATGTTTCTTCGTGTAATAAATAAACGCATGATTCATACCAAAATAATAAATAGATGACTGAATATGCGCAGTTCAAAAATAAAAAGTTATATCCGATGCATAGTTTTTCTCAGCAAACTAAAGATACTTTGCGCTAATTATGCAATACTTGAACATCGCATTTACAGTGCAAATCTTACATGCAGCTTCAAGTAACACGTAATCGTCGAAACAAAGAAAAAATTATTTCGGATACACAATGAGAATACCTCTATTTACGATTTACTACAACAAATTCTTTGTGATAATTGTTCTCTAAACGTCTCGTTCAGGAAGGCATAAATGACAGGATTCACCACATTGTAAGTGAAATACATGTATATGACAATGATATTTAATGGAAGGACCTTAAGGGCCACTAACCATGAAGGAAGAAAAGCTACAATAAACACCAAAGCCACGATAGACAGCATAAACGCTGTTTTTATGTTTGCAATGCGCATTTTCTCAAGTTTAGCTTTTGACACACCCCCTGGTTTTAAAATGACGTCCCTATCGCTGATCTGTGTATTTCCGTTCTTTTGCACAGCTTTATCACATGTTTCTTCTACTTTGTGATCGTCTTGCGCATTTGTCACGTCTGTATTGTTTAGAACTGTGATCTCAGTCTGTTCTGCAAAGCTCTGGGAGCTCCATATTCCACAGCAGTTGTCAGAGAGGAACATTTCAAACTTCTTTCTTCGACGAGCTAAAACGGATCTATATATTAAACAATACAAAATGATGACAATTAGGGCGCAAATTCCAAAAAACGACGAGTATATTTTCTGATATATGAAAAAGAATTCCGTTTCTTGTGGCAAACACATATAGTCATAACGTGTAATGTTTGATATTGATGAGTTTGGCAATATGGTGACATTTTGGTACACTGCTGTGACTATTTCCGGTCCTTCTGTTACCGGAACTGGCGTTATTCTGTAGTGGGAGCAACATATGATTCCAAGAGTTACAGCAAATGCACACAGGCTCCCAACAACGATCTCTGCCCGTCGTATTGTCATTGCATGTTTGAAAGGGTACACAATGCATAAATATCTATCCACCGCTATTGCTACCATGACAAATGCCGAAAAAGGAACAGTTGTCGTAATAAGAAATAAATAAATCTGACATATAATGTCATACTTCAGCTGAAATTTGACTGCTTCTGTAGCGATAGTAAAGGGAATTGTAACACAACACGTGACGAAATCGACACCGGCCAGAGTTAGGATGAAAATGGTTGAGGTAAGCTTATTCTTGTACCGAGAGAAGACGTACAAAACGAGAGCGTTACCGATCGTTCCCACCACAGAGAATATGGACATGTAGCCAATGGCAATGTACACCTGGATCTCCAGCTCCGCTTTCTCCATCTTGTTCTTTGATAAAATGCTAGAGGTATACCTAAAAAATAAGGTATTATATAGTAAAGCCAATAGGGTAAAATACCATAGATATAGACGGATACAAAGAACGTCTAGAAAGCAAAGAGATGGGAGAGGTAATTAGAATTTCATTTTCTACAGCATTAATCTTCACATTTATCTCTGAAAAATTTACAGAACAGAAAATCTTTAAACTGTTTCCAACATACGTTAATAGTTTTAAGCAACTGTTGCTTACATCAAAAACAACATGATGATATTTAATAACAAAAGGTAAAGCAGAAATCAAATGAAATGTCAAATATTTTTGTTGTCATAAAGAGATATGGAGTATTCAAATATCAAACGTTGATGATCAAAATTTTCATGTGACCAGAAATCAATAATGAAAACCAAAAGTCTCTGTCGAGACTGCAGCTCGACTGGTTTGAACTTATAACAAAGGAAGATAAATCCAGCAATCGGACTATGTCAGCAGCAATAAATAGAATAATAATCCTTAAGTTTTGTTTTGCCTCTTTGTGTTGAAATATTTTTTGGAATCAGTCAGATTGAAAGCATTCAATTGATTGATTTTTTCTTCAATCTTTTAGGAACAAGACACATTCATCACGATCAATGTATACACCCGGCGTGTGCTCCTTGTCATGATCGAGAAATAATGGAAAAATCCGTCGTCAATTCAGTGTATAAATAATGGACTAACAATAAGTATGAAAAAACGTCAGACTGCATTTGACTCAATGATAAATTGTATTTGCTGACAGGTCATTGTTTCAACCAAAGAAGTTATGAAATGATGATTTTAAACGAGACTGCTATTCTTGTTTCATCAACGTGTTTGTCAATAATTTACCTCGTTTTAAAAATTGTTCACACGTACATAGAGAGCATGCTCTTGCGTATCAAATCAACTGAGAAATAAACTCCATATGCAGGTGATGAAGTTACATTGCTGCATAAGTAAGGGAAGTTGACGATAGAAAAGTTAAAGTCATCACGTTTATCATGATAGGGCTTGGTTGTTAGATTACCATTAACGTTTTTTTTTTCAAGTAAAATATCCAAATATGTATGAAACAGGTGTGTCAGATTCTGTGGTATCTTTTATCTCAAGCTCAGCAGGAAACTTTCTAACTTAGTAAACTTTGCTACAGTAATCATCAAAACCGATATATAGAATGAATTATGTAGCTTAGTGTCGACTTCTTGTGTATCAAGTGATACATGTACATGTATGGACATCCGACCAAAAACTGTAAGTGATATAATAGCATTTTCTAAAATGAGACGAATGGGCAACGGACACGTGACTATCGCATAACCTTTCTCGCCACTTGGTTAGTAGAGCTACAGTAAAGTGTACAAATAATGACAACTTTCAAGAGTAGTTATAATATATGAAGCTTTAAACGATGGCACTTTGTATAACGGAATTATGTTTTACATGCTGCAAAATGCTGAGGAATTTGAAGCCAATGCGTTTCGTTCTAATTTGATCAATATAATGTATACGTCGAAGGTGTACAGTTTATTTTCCATTTCCTGAACACGTAAAATTAATTCTTATCGCGATTGGCGGAGTTTTACAAACAAATTAGTAATTCAGCCTTTTTCTGTTGTGAGGCTTCCAAGCATCGGACATGACGATTCCGGTCCGAGTTGATTAACCGTAGAACACCATCAGCAATTACCTATTTTCGCCAGTTTCAGTCTTAAGCAGTTCTCATCTGGGAACAATGATCGATAGTCAACAAAACTAAGAACTTCGAAACCTGATTAACGGCGATAGCGCGTTTTACTCGAGCATTTTGCAATTAAAAACAAAAATTAAACAACAACCTCGACCAACAAAAAAAGTAAATCAAGTGATTGTTTAGATAGAGAATGTTTACAGACGTCTATAGGAAAACAGTTACAGTGTTTGAGGACTTGAGTCTAGCTAATAGTAAGCGTTAGTTTAAAAGAGTCAGATATTCAAGTTAGGTTTTATGGAAAATTGTCTGTTTTCCTACGTCTGTACGTTTCCATTTATTCAATTTTTGCAGTATACACTGAAAGATTTTAACCATAAAATAATAAAACAATAAATTTGTTGTTTTTCTTTTTCAAGAATCTTTAAGATGTAGTAAATTGAAAATTATCCTTGCTTTAAAAACTTCGCGAGAAATGAGACTTTGCAGAAAAATACTACAGATATATTAGAATTCAAACCGGTTGTGTTGGCACAAAATCTCGATGGGGCGGAATGACAATGTTAATGTCACGTGGTTAGCCACTTTTTTCATGACGTGTCCAAATGTGAACAGGTATACCAAAAAGGTGTTTGACGCAGCAGTCCCTTAGAAAACAATGTACGTTCTGCTCTCCTTAGTTCTTGAGTCCTAGTTTAGTAATCAATTTTAGTAATCAATGAAAGGTTCACATGCCAAGAAGGTTATTATGCTTATTATGCGCGGATGATACATGTTTAAGAAGACAATAGCCATTGTGACGTAAAATGATCGAGGGCGAACATTTTACACAAATAATTGTTTTATTTACGCAGCTTAAGTATTGGTCATGTGATCTCGTCTATATTTTTTGTAAGGTATGCTTCAACTGCATCATTATTTTGCTAAAGGTGACCATAGAAAATGAAATCATTCAAAAAATTATAATAAGAAGAATATGTATCCTGAAACTCACTTTAACTACTGAGTATTCAGATGTGAAAGGTTTTCGTGCATCAACCTTTATTTAAATTCGGACTATGGTATATATTTCCATAACTATATTATAAAAGATATTTGTTTAGCAAGGCGTTGTATGTTTGTGTGTGTCTTAGTTTGCCTTGTGCAAAGCGGAAGTGGCATAATTTGCATCGGATCGATATCGAATGTTTTTATTTATAGATTATAAGATATGCTTTTTGCGAGGGTATGATTCGGTTTGCAATGCCCTTGTTTTTAAATGTTATTTTTTTAGCACCATGAACGTTTAGGTGAAAGTTATAAACATTTACTTTAAGTCTTTGGACTTATAAGTCATAATTTTTAGACCTGGTCAAAAGTGTTCGACTCTGAATCATACAGTATAATGCTCTTAAAAGCTGGTCACGTGGTCAATATTATGACAACCATTGATCAACCAACAAATAAATCCCCCGAACACAAGTAACAGTCACCAGAAATTTCTGACATAATTATAGTTTCTCCTCCCTGACCCAAGAAGATGTGTTTTCGCTATAAATGAATTCATTTCCTGTCAGAAGGACAGACATGGGGCTCGCCTCTTTCGGATAAGTGGTAACCCTCCGCTGCTTCTGGAGAATCTTAATCAATCATATTAGGCCCTGACACCCAGCAGATAGACCTAATGCCGATCATTAACGCTGCATATCCAACAGCCAATCCCTAAAATACAATCAGGGAATATGTTATCCGGATAACAGATAATTTCCTTAAGAACTTGCTGTATTCCATGATAATGTAAGGGTGGCATTTTATGAAGTTTGATATTCATGTATAAAACCAAATATATAAACAAAATGCTAAATATGAACTCAAAGGGAGTTCACAAAAATGTTTATTCAATATTACATGTATCACTCTTTCTCAAATTCTACCAATATATTTCCTTAAATGACAATGCTGACGAAATTGGCATTCAATTTTTGATAAAGGAAGTTGATCAAATGACCGTAATACTTATTCCTTGCCTAGGCAAAGCATGTGAAAGGTTTAGACTTTGAAGTCACATGAGGTCGTTTGTTTTGTTCGTTTGTGTTTTTGATGAACGTCCTTTTCGAGAATTTTTACTCATATTTAGCCGCCAGTTGTAAGTAAATGCTGCAAATTTTGTCCTAAACACCGCACTCATGGCCATTGAGCGGTGAGAGATCCTTATCGTGCCAACACCTATTGTGACACGACTCGATTTATATATATCTTCTGAATTAAAGTTGGACTTTCAATTTCCTATTTGTATTCCTTGTAACAAAACTTCTAGGGAATACTGAGAGTTTTGAACCCTTGGCCTTGACCATGGATTTTGTCGATCATTTAATAAAAATTAACTTTGGCCTTAAATTGTCAGTGTGCAAGATTTTTTTTCAATGATTCAACTTTCATCCCTGCATAAATGAATTGAGAAAGAAATATTTTTTTGGTTGTACATGTATTGATATCTTAAAAAAAACCTTTGGTGTCATAATTATTGTATGTTACATTTCCCTTAATATGTTTCTCAGGCTGCCAGTGTTTCGCCATAAATCATGGCGATTTTCAGAGAAACTTTTCCTCCATTGCCCACAAAGCTGATTACTCAGACTCATTAAACGACCATCACCGAGGACATATTTTCTTTAAATTAAGGTAACGCGACAGAACGCAAGAAGAGACTACCAATTGGCTTCACGCGCTATTTCATGAGGAATTACGATCCCAACATTTAATGACGAACAGAATATCAAATTGTCCTAATGGAATACATTCTGATAGTTTGGGAAGAGCTTTGGGTACCTGCAAGTGATACAAGTCATTTATCTTAACACATTTAACTTTTTTTGTTTATTTATTTATTTATTTTCTTGATTTTCTCCCGGGGTTGGGGTTGGGGGACGAATGCTCGTTTTTCATACTAATTGTAAGGCCATTATTTACACATTGATCTGTGAATTGACGACGGACTTTTCCGTTATTTCCTGATCATGTCAAGGAGCAGACGGCATGTGTGATCGTAGGCAGGGGATAATCATTCCTCCATGGCACCCGATCCCAACTCTGATATTTTAGAGGTCCGTTTTTGCTCTGCTCCAAAATATTTATATTGTTTTATAAACTTTTGAGCTTGAATACTGTTCTCTCCATATATTTCATTTTGATTTTTTAAAGTCTATCTGACTTTCGTATTTTACCTTTCCGAACATTTTTTTTCTGAAAAGTGAAAAAAGGTGTTGTGAAGAGATAAATTTCCTTTAATAAAGTGACGTTTCCCTTCTAAGAGGCGAATCAACATCTTGTATGTTGTTTTATTAAG